TTTGTAATGATTTATCTTTTATTAAATTATTAGAAATCGGTCGGATCAGTATTGATATTACGTGAACTAAATGTGGATCATGTCCATACGTAGGTACTGAAATTATTTTTTTGGCGGCTAGATGTCGCTCAACGTTAAGAAACTTATTTTAACTATGATTTTGTCATTGTTCTTTGTACCTTCGTCCTCCTGATTCTTCTTTTTACAAAAACCTGGTACTATACAAATGATATATCGAGTTCTTAGGTTCTCACGATTGTTACACATAGGAAACGAAAACTATTTTTCTTTTGGATCTAAATCGCGTATATTTGTTTTTTTTTTAAACAAACGAACGTTTCGGGCCCGTTCGTATTATCGATGATCCCAAACTCACAAATGGTATGGAGCCCCCTTACGGAGAGACGTTGGCTCTCTGTGTGTGTTCTACCGTCTTTATAATGGGGAGTGTTCTGAGGAACTTTTCGAAGCGATGCCAACGTCTTGTTTCTACCATCGCACCTCCCGCCAAAGGAGTAGAGTCCATCCCAACATCTTAGACGCCTGGCACTGTAAGACCACACGGGCATCTGGTTCGTTTCTTCCTCGAACCTGCAAGGTGTGGAATGATCTTCCTCCTGAAGTGTTCCCTTTGCGCTATGACATGGGGTTCTTCAAAAGGCGTGTTACAGGGCTCTCAAAGGCTGGCAACGCATAGGCAGCTCATTTGATGTTGCAAATGTCCATAGGCGACGATGACCACCTCCCATCTAGTGGCTTGTCGGCTCGTTTGCATCCTTCTTTACATAAAAAAAAGACCATGGGCCCTGTAAAGGGCCGGAAACGGTGGTTTGTTTGAAAAAACAAATATACACAATTTAGATACGAAAGAAAAGTTGGACGTTCGATTCGAGCGTTGTGAATAAAAATAAAGAAATTGGTCGAGAACCGAGTTATCGTAAGGTTCTGAATCTGCTGGATACGGCACTGATGTGCGTGGTTATTCCCTTATGGCATACAAATTGTAAAGGTGGCGTTACAAGAATGCATATTAAACCACTGTGATCCACTTGTGGCATACACAATTTTTTTGTAGACACGCATGCACAACAATTTGTGCAGTATACTCATGCAGTACAACGATGTTAAAAGCAATCTAAATTGCAAGATATATGTAAAAACTATGTCTTACCTTTCCAAACCTTACACCGCAATTTTCACACTCTGCCTGCACTTTCTGCCTTGTATCGCACTCAGTACATATTAGCTCCGTAACGGACTTTCGGTTGAAATAGTGCTGTTCCTTCTCATCATGACAGTATCGGCACATATAAAGTTTGTTGCAACATGGAGTCTGAAATGTGATAAATAAAAAATTGAGAACTTAAACTGTGAACTGGCAACTGAGATAGTACCTCAGTTTTGACAACTTTACATTGACTTTACGGGTGAAGAAAAAAATTGTTTGCGTCATTTATATAGCATCTAATTTATTAAATAAAAACACGCAGTTTTTAAATATTTTTATTACACATACACTACGTATTTTTATGTAATAAATCAGATGGTATATGACGCAAGCAAGTTTTGTAAAGTCAATGTAAAGTCGTCAAAATTGAGATAGTACCGGTTGCCAGTGTACAGTCGATATGTCCATTTACGACGGAATTTTATTTAAGAGTGATCAATAGTGGCTTATCTGAGCCATCTATTAGAGTTAGGGCATAATCTAGTTCCTGTCATTGAGGTTGGGCATATGACTGTTCAAACTACATTGTTCCTAGGCAATTGATATTTTGTAATAGATCTTTTTTTATTATTATTATTATGAATTATGATACTAAGTGCAGGGACGAACAAGTCGTGCGCCTGGTGATAAGCGACACGTCAGTCCATTGTATAGCTTTTGCAGTGCCAATCAGATCTTTAAATCGCAACGATCTGACGGGTACTGCCAGTGCATTCGTCACTCTGAGAAGTAACTTGACAAGTCCCATGTGCATGTAATTTCATCTGCACATTTACCCTTCAAAACTGGAAAACAAAAATGGTTTGGGAGCAGAAAGTTTGATAAATGTTTACTAATTTCTACATAAAAGAACACTTCACAGAACTGTATAGAAGTGAGAATGTACACAGTCATCATGACCGTTGTGTGGAGCAGCAAACATTAAAAACTATCCATACTTATGAAACAAGAGTGTATATTCACAAACAAAGAAAGATTTCTGTGAATAATAGATAAGAATAATTCGTTTCTAACAGAGCAATGACTTAACTAAATTGTTTTGAAATTTCCATTAAAATATTCTGATAAGGATGGCTATGGAGATAAAGTACGTATTCTGTGAATTTCAGCAATATTTCCCAACAAAGATATCTTTATAGTGTAAAATAATGTAATATAATAATATAATAATAATGCACACACTCAACATAGGCTCGCACTAGGTAAACCCTGTGTCACGGGTGCCATGGACACACAAATAGACAATTACAAATTACACCTAACTAAATTACATACAAATATTTCTCCCGGCCCGGGAATCGAACCTGGGACCTCTGCATGGCACTCCGGCATGGTAACCGTTCGGCCATAGAGGTAGTTAACGTGATTGATTAGCTTCAATTACTTGATAAACTTTATTTGGTTAGTTACTTAGATTATAAGAAATGTTCCTCTTTAGATGATGTGTTTTGGTGGATGCATGATTCTTCAAGTGGCAGGGAAACAGATTAAGCTGAGCCTCTTGCACATATCGTTCCCTTAGAGTGAATTTTGTTGGAGAAAAACTTGTTCAAATATATTATTAAACTAATAGGTATAATTTAACTATCTCATCACTCTAAGATGACAACATGCATATGGTTGGACAGTATTTGAGATATAAAAATGTATTTTGTAATAGGTATTTGAAATACTTTCATGTTGTCTTGTGATTATATTTTGTATAAGTAATTTTGCACTACTTATTTTAATTACAAATAGTGTACTTAGTTATTTATAATTTCAAAAAGATACAGCATATATTTCTTGCACAGCCTGTTATTGTTGTACAATTCAAATGGATAATTCTCATGTTTATTTTCTATACCTAGTTTTGGTGGCAATTTTTATTATTCTATTTTTTTTAATGATACCTAGTGACGGGACAATACGTGGGCCTGTTGGTAAGTGACACTGTCCATAGCAATTGCAATGCTACTCAGACATTTAAATCACAAAGATCTAAGGGGCACTGCTGCTGCACCCATCAACCTGAGACATAAGTTGACAAGTCCCATGAGTCTGTAATTTCACCAGCATGTTTACCCTTTAAGACTGGAATGCGTAATAATATTCTAGTATATTATCACAGCGTTATTTAATATTTGAGTGTAATAAGTAATAACTTTAAATATTATGTAATATTTCACAATAATATACTCGAATACTTGCCACTGAAAATAGGTCCAAACAAAAAATTACCCATGTATATATATACCATACCTGTTTACTGGGGCAGGCAAAGACCATAAAATGTTCACAAAACACAATGGAAATCTTAGTTTTGTATGTTACTACACCACCGCAGAAACTTGCAAAAAAGTACAACATACCCAAAAAGTGTTTTCAATAAGCAGATAAAGGTCAACGACTGAAAAAATACACGTGAACAATACAGCATTGACCTTTTGGCACGATTTTAAGGTCATTAACTTTAACCTTGTTTGCATGCGCCAATAATTTGACTATTATTTTATTATAAAAATTGGTTCTTTCTTCTATTACACGTGTTCATCCGTCAAAATTTTCCCTGCATTGACGTCCCATTGTTTTCTAAATCTGCAATTCAGCCGTTCTCGAAGATTTGCGCCGCAGAAGTATAAATATAGTCGTCGAGTGTTTTGAACCCGGTGTGGCCATTGAACCACAAAATATTTCCAAAAATTCCAACAAATATGACTTGTGTAACTATTTTACAGCATAATGGAAAATCTTACTCACCACAAACTTAGCTCTGCGTTTGTAATGAGCGCAGCCAATGCGTTTTTCGCTAGAAGTCTCTGCAGCCAACGATGTGTCGCCATTCTCTATTTCTTCCTTCTCTTCCGACATTTTCAACAATTAAAACGCTAAACAACAACGAGGGGCGTTTGATAATATTTCTTTACAGTGTATCACCGAGTAACTCTTTCAATGTATTATTTTATTGGTCATCATTAATGTAAAATCATTGAAAAACAATTAGCATTAGCATGACATCTGGCTCACTGCGCAGTTTGACAGTTGGGAGAAAGCGTTTCGTTGTTGCAAAATCTTGGAGAAAATAAGGGTAAACATTTTTTCTTCACACACACATAATGTGCTGTAAAACTAGGTGGTATTATTCTTAAATTAGGCGCTAATGGTTTATTTCAATTTTACTCTCCCGCCGCCCCGTATGTTAGAAGTGCCGCCTGCTGTCGTCTCGCGCCAAATATGTGACAAGACCATAAAAGGCTGTGGACTTTTTGATTTCTAAGCACCTTTATTACAGTCGGCTTTATTTCATATAAAAAAAATTATAAGAAGTATATTCTACTTTTCATGCTAGTAAAATCAATTCTTTTTAACAATTAAATAAAAAATGTAATGTTTAAAATGGGCTTTCAATACCTGCTGTTTGTTGTACAATGTACCATTATTCATCTAATAGATAAACGTACATCAAATTATTGTATGTACTTTCATATTTTTAGTTAAATTGACTGATATGGTAACTTACATTTTTGCTAACAAAACGCGTATAAAAAATAATATTGTATGCCGTTTCCGTATCCAGTATTGAGCAAAATTCTGCGAAAAGCATTGACAAGCGAAAAGTCAAAAATATCTTTCAGAATGTAAGTCAATGTTCAGAATGAGGAAAGTCGTCTAATGTGCAATTATGATTTATAAAAACAACAAAAAAATATAATTTTTCAGGTTACTCTAATTATAAAAATTAAATAAGTAGGTAATAATGAATAATTTTGTGTACTTATCTCTGTTTTTGCCTTGGGCAACTGGTTTAGTGCCTCCAAAGTTTCAATGGAAAACTATAGATTTGGCGTTTGAAAATGATATACAACGAGATAAGGCAATCGCTTCAAAGGAATTTATTCCTGAGAATAATATGCCGACTGGAATTGCCAGATGGAAGTCGAAGCTTTTCATCACGATACCTCGATGGAAAAAAGGTATGGTGGGGCGCAACTAGGATTCGAGGCAATTTGCCTCAGTCATTTCGTTACTTATATTATTTTTCTTTCAGGTGTCCCATCCACGCTAAATTACATACCCCTGAACTGTGTCCAAAACTGTCCCCTCCATCCGTACCCCAGCTGGCGGGACGGGTATCTCCCAGACAGTGCATCCAATATTAACTCTAATGCAACAATCGTGTCCACTTTTAGAATACACGTCGACTCGTGCGATAGACTGTGGGTTGTTGATAACGGGGTTGCTGATATGGCGAGTAAGTTAATTTTAACTACCTAACCAGTAGGCTAACCCTACGACAGGACGCGACTTGCGTGAGTATAGTAGCGCAAGATATTGTTATTCTCTAAGCGAAAATGCGCAAGTGTCGCCCTGTCATGCTAGCTCTACAGGTGTACATATTTATTTCACGGTCTAATTACTATTAGAGTAGTTATACAGCAACGATGCAAACGCGCGATTGCATAAATACAAACGCGAGATTGCATCTTAAAAATCCCAAGTATAGCGATGCAATCGCGCGTTTGCATCGGTGCAGTCGTGCACTTCCAACGCGTTTGCATCGCTGCTTAAAAGTCGACGTGTGTAACCGCTTTTATACTTTTACGTAAAGCATTATAAGTACATATACAAAGGCCATTAACGAAATAATGTATGTATGTCAACGAAATGTAAGAGATTTATCAATAAAATAACTGTTACACAAAACATCAGTAAGAAAGACAGTGGCTGGTTTTTGAACGTCTTAGTTTCCAGGCTTTCTACAGATACGGTTTGGTCTTCGGTTATTAAATGGGGTGACAAAAGCGTGACAGGTACAGTAGTTACAGGGTCAAGAGCACGTCAAGCTTTACACTTAAGACTTAAATCCAACTCTACGCCGCTTACGATAACAACGGTCCAAAGTACAAAGTGCCAAGCTTGATGTGCTATTCACTTTACATTACATTTTCTGCGTTTTGATGTTGCCTGGTTACATGTCTATTGCATACGACGTATTTATTTTTTACGAGCAGATGATCAAGTCAAAGTCAAAGTCAAATAATCATTTATTACATAGGTAAAATAAATTTACACTTGAAAACGTCACATTTAAGCTATTGTCTTCCCTGCTTAGAAGAACGAGCAAGAAACTCTAGGGATTGCTCTTTTCAAATAAACTTAAATGATATGGAATACACTTTGAATCAAATTTGTGTGGATTCTGGAGCCAGAGATGACACTCTAAAATATTTGAGTAAATGTACTGTGATGCCCCAGTCATGATACCAGTCTCCCTATACTTTTCTCTTAGAGAAACCCGAGAGCCTAGACGGTACACAGAACGAATGACTCGTTTTTGCAATACAAATATGGTTTGAATATCTGCCGCGATGCTATTCAAATGAAATTCCGTTGCAAATTTTGTACACATTCACAAATTCATTGGCGCCCCGTAAACTCGCATTACTTACTGACGGCGTGTTTACACCGACTCGACTGCCGCCTCTTCGGCAAGCGAGTTAGGCTGAAAAAAGTGGCACAGGCGACATTAACAATATTTAAGATCAATTTACATGTCACGTTCTTTCGTTCATTACATTCTATTTCTGCCGCTAAGCATTAATGTTAGCATTACTGCGTTCCGATCCTGAAGGGTAAGGGTGCTGGTGAAATTACAGGCACATGAGACTTGTCAACTTACGTGTCCGGGTGACGGGCGCAGTGGCGGTGCCCCTCAGATCTTTGCCAGTTAAAGCTCTGAGTGGCACTGCAACTGTTATGGACAGGCGTGTAGCTTACCATCAGGCACAAGACTTGTTCGTCCCGTCACTAGATATTATAAAAAAAAATTAAAAAACCATTACAAAATGTAACATGCAAACTAGATACGAGCCAAAAAAATGGTCGCGCGTATTCCCGATAATTTTTGCACAGTCTAGTTTATACATTATACTTGACATGAAGTTCATTATTATGCTTTGTACAATTTCGTTACAAAAATTCACTTCCAGCAGGAATATAAATTGAGTTTTTCATTAAATTCACATTAATTTTTGTCCATTCGAGTCTCTTACTATTATAAAAAAATATAATTATTACACAGAATTGTCTACTAAAAGAAATATTACGGTCACTGTGTACTAAAATAATACACGAGAGTAATAATTTAACTTTGATATTGTACAGACGAGGTGAAGCAGATAACCATGCCTGCTATAGTTGTGTACAACCTAAACGTCAATATGCTGGACGAGAGATACGAGCTCCATGACGATGTTATCATGGATTCTTCAGTTCTCACTAGTATTGTAAGTTTTTTTTTATGATACTGTAAATGAATAAGGTGAAGAATGAAAATCTCACAAGAAAGGAGTTTCTTGGTTCTTTAGAGGACAAGGGAGAAGTGTTGCAGACATAGCATGAGCATAAATACAAAAGATATTGCCTTCTCTAAGATGTCAATATATTTTCAAAAATTATCTATAATTAGGGTCAACTAACTTTGAAGTTTTATTTTATTTTTATCAAGAGCGAGACCATTTAATAGCGTGTTTACACAAGGTCGACTGGCTTAAACGGCCCATTCACTACCTACATGGCTTTCCGCGCAGGCAGAAGACTGCTCACACACTATCCTGCGTATGGCCCACGTAAGGAGTCTCGCAGGACGCATTGCAAGATTGCAGGATGGCTTGCACGCTACTACTACGTTTATAATCCTGCATTACGCGGCGGGCGGCAAGGCGGACTGCGATACACGATAATGGATGCCCCCTTTTAGGCAGATTGCTTTGCCATGCCAACTACCGCAAGCGAATTTAGCTGACGAACGCGGCGTAGTCGACGAGCTGTTTACACCGAGTGGACTGTCGCCTTCATAAATCATAAAAAAAAAGTTTAGGCACGGACCATTGACTTACAATTATATGGATGTCGGGTCCGCGCTAAAAAGTGTCCGAACTTATAGGGCGTTAAAATCGTATACAGAGCGTCATTCACGCTTTAGTATTCGTTTGTTCGACTGACAGCGAAGCAAGCAAAATTAGACAGTACTGCGACGACATTATAATTTAAATTCAACGTTTTAGCTTTTTTATAGTCCTTTACATGTCATTACTTTTAAATAGGTTGACTTGGGACATTTTTTTCGTGGTTTTTATGTATTAGACCCGTCATCCATTTATTTGTAAGTCAATGGCAAGGACACAACAAATCGTTCGAAACTTGCAACAAATAGATCGGATAGGTAGGTACTCCCCAGTACGCGAATCTTGTTGGGACACGGCGCGACCGGCACTTTGAAATTTGTATGGTAGACTATAGTGATTACACTTATCTGACTCGTCGATCGACTTCAGCAGCAAACTGCAGACATCAAAAACACCTCTTATGATTATATTGGGTAAAATGCCGTTTGGCGGGCAAGCGAGGGCGACTTATCGATCTAGTGTAAATGCTTCACTTGTCGACACGATGACCTCAGCGGGCAAGCAAAGGCGACAATAGAGATTCCTTGAATAATAGCCTTCTAGGTGACGTTCAGTTTGGGTATACCGATATTTGTTTCTTGTAGCTGTTGTTTGGACTTGACTTCGGTAGGTCCTATTTGCTGAAAACTTAGGTATACGTCATGCATGTTGTCCACTGCAAATGTATATGTAGGATTTTCTCTGACCACTTTCACAGTCGTTAATTTTCGAAGAAACAATTAAAATGCTATGACACGGTTAAGGATTTAAAGGTTTTTGTTTCTTATTTTGTTTGCAGGTAGTTGACGTAAATAAGAACTGCAGAGACGCCTATGCCTACATCACAGATATGGGTTCAAACGCAATTGTAGTTTATAGCTTAAGCAGAAAAGACTCATGGAGGGTGGAACATCCCTTTTTTAGTTTCGACCCCTTCGCCGGGTCATACAAAGTGGGCGGCGTCGAATTTTATTGGAATGATGGAGTTTCTTCAGCTGCTTTGACGGGAGCTAAAAAAGATGGGTAAGTCATACAGTTTGTAAATATAATAAAAATACTATATTCTTCTCATATTAGTAACATAAACCTGAAAATAATAGCTTTATCTCGTCGACCTCTATACGGTTTTTGCACCGTACAATACTTTGCTAACTTAACAACCTACATATTGCACGTGTAAATGGTCATAATAGACTGTTGACAACTCGCTTCACGAGCGATTGGCCACAGATAGGCATTCAAAACTATACTGTACGCTTCTTACTTAATACCTTCATCAACTTATTACGGAAATTGTGGTTTACGTCAAGTTTATATCCTACTCTACTTAATAATACGCCGACCTTAGACGTTCAGAGAATCATACAACCTCATCGTCACTTCGATGGAGGTTAAGTGCGCACTTATTTTATATGAAAAAGTGACAAAAACCTACACATCGTGCCGCTGCAGCGCTTCTACTAGCGTCTAATTTGAAAGCACTGTCAATTTATATTGCAGCGGAACGGAATGGAAGCGAATTTTTGTAACATAGTATAATGAACTTTATGTTCAATTGTGTAAAGTACAAACTAGAAGATTTTGGCTCGTATCTAGTAGTAGTAGATAGTTTATCAGCAGTAGAGCTCCTTGTGAAAGAGTCCAGGGAAGTACAGCCAACTTACTTATTTCTACCGCCAAGCAGTATTGTTAGCATTACTGCGTTCCGGTTTAGAAGGGTAAGGGTGCTGGTGAAATTACGGGCACATGGGACTTCGTCAACTTTATGTCTCAGGGTGACTGGCGCAGTGGCAGTGCCCCTCAGATCTTTGCGATTTAAAGCTCTGAGTGGCACTGCAACTGTTATGGACAGGCGTGGAGCTTACCATCAGGTGCACGATTTGTTCGTCCCGTCACTTGATATTATATATAAAAAATAATAATAGTTAGTACGTTACATAATTGATCATAAACTTTAAGAAGCTTTGTACAATATCGTTACATAAATTCGCTTCCGTCGCGATATAAATTGAGCCTAAGCCTCTTGCGATAAGAACGGTTCGAAGTCCAAAGTGTCAAACTTGACGCGCGTGAATTGGTATAAAATCGCATCCTTGAGGTAATCGCCACATCCGCAAAACAGAGTTTTATTAGATCTACTAACGAAATTAGTTATTTTTTTATGCTTAAATAGAAGAGTTCTAGAATTTTACATTAATACATAACGTTTTGTTAGTGTTTAAAGCGGGCAGCAAAAGCTATAGTACGGTCCCCGGAGTTACATTGTGCGGCATTCCTCTTAAAGGTTTCACGGAATTTAAATATATAGGGCACTGGGTCACGGAGTCATTAAAAGATGATCTAGAGATAGAAAAAGAGCGTAGGGCTCTGGCAGCGTTGGACAACATGTTGGCCCGTAGGTTTGCGAGTTATACTGACGACGTTAATATTGCGTTATTTAAAGCATACTGTCAGTTCTTCTAAGATGCAGCTTGTGGGTCAACTACACCCATAAAGCTCTCAGCGCTCTACATGTTTTATATAATAATATATTCAGGATGCTGTTTGCGACTATTATGCGCAGAATTCGTGGTAGCGGCAAAGGCCTCCAAAGTATTATTGCATTCAGGGTCCAGGGGTCGTTTCTTGAGCACTGGACTCGAATGCGTGTCAATAAGAATGAAGTATAATTGTTATTTGTAATACTAACACTATTTTTAAGTGTTCGGGTACTAACCATAGTAGCGGTTAACACACGTCGAGTTTTAGAAACGATGCAAACGCGATGCAGTCGCTATTCGTCTACCTTTACATACACGCGCTATTTTAGGTCTTTTTCAGAGTGGCGGCGGGCGCGAGTGCGAGCGAGTAGATCTTTTGGCTCGGTCCGTCTATGCCTTTCACAGTGCTTGGTCTAGCGTCTAGCGTCTGTTTGCTATTTCGACGTGTGGATCTACCCGCTCGTTGCCGCTTCGGCACTGTGAAAGGGAAGACGGTAAGACCCGCGCTCGCACCCACCTCCGCGCCCGCGCCTGCCCTCTGAATGAGCCCTTAAGAGGGAGCATGCCAAAAAAGTTTTGACGTTGGCTCCGCCCAAATTTGTGAAACAAATATATGTCTAAAGTTCGCGTGACATGCGAGATGTTGAATTTTGCGCATTAAAAGTACCAAATTCGTTTTAGCGGAATAACTCTAAAACTAAAGGGATTAAAAAAAAATCCGTAGTGACAGATCTCGATCATGCATAAATATAATTAATTATGTAATTTTTGTCCTAATAACCTGTAGCATTTCGAGGATGAATCGAAAAAAATGTGAAAATTAGAGGTCATTTCGTGATTTTTATCTATCGAGGAAACTTTATTGTTTTATGTTTCTGATTAGTGTCTATGCCTGAATATATCGTGTAGTTACTCATACAATATTTTATTTTTAACTCTAAAGTGGATATACCCCTCTAAAATCAAATCGAAGATTAGGAATTTTTCCTCTGCTCCCTCTTAAGCACTGATACAAACGCGATGCATCATGCAATCGTCTATAAATTCCAAGTGTAGCGACGCCATCGCGCGTTTCACGAGCGCGCGTTTGCATTGCTGCTAAAAATCGCTGTCTGAAACCACTCTTATGGTGAATTTTTTGAAATAAAAGCTTTGAATTTGAATAATTTGTTTTGTGTGGCCAAGTAGGTCGCATTATTTTTATGACTCATGTGTTAAAAGAATTTTTGACGCATGATCACATACATGTGTCTTTGTTATATCAAGGGTATAAATTAATCCTAAATATATAAAATAAATTCTCTGGTGTGTGACTGGTTCAACCATCCTGTTTAAAATAGGTATTATCCGTTTTGCCGAATCTTAAAGATCATAATTTTCAGGTATCGTAACCTGTATGTCCACCCAACGTCGAGTACTAAGCAATTTAAGTTATCGACTAAAGTGTTAAAACAAAAGAATGTCGAGCCTGAAGATATTATTGACGCTGTTGAGGTAACTATAAGAAATAATTATCTGAACGTACGAGTGTATTTGTAGGTGAGAATTAGGTCAATGGTGAGAAGTATGGACCTTAAGTCCATCATTTGGAGTTTAGATTGGTTAACAAACATTACTTTAGTCTTCACATTAGACGCTCTAGTAGTAAGGCTGCAGTGGCGCGGCAGCCGATTTGCTTTTCATACAAAATCTAGTCTGCAAGAACGGCGCGTCTGGCGCGTTTCTGTAGGCGTTAAATTTGAGGAAATCATGCAATGGTTTTTTTTATAACATCAATGACGGGACGAACAAGTTGTGCCTGATGGTAAGCTACGCGGCTGTCCATAACAGTTACAGTGCCACTCAGAGCTTTAAATTGCAAAGATCTGAGTAGGCACTACCACTGCGCCTGTCACCATAAGTTGACAAGTTCTATGTGCCTGTAATTTCACCAGTACCCTTAAAAACCGGAACACAGTAATGCTGACATTACTGCTTGGTGGCAGAAATAGGTAAGGTGGCAGTACTACTCTGGACGAACTCTCTCACAAGGAACTCTTGCAGAGCTTTATTTTTGGTTTTTTAAAGACTGTTTGCTGTAGCGCCATCTGTGAGAAATCTATGAAAGTTTTTCTTCACTCCTTACCGTACCTTCCGTACCTTTACAGCTACCAGCGGCTGTCTAGACACGTCGCTTTAATTAATGTAATATGAAGTTTATTGACTGTGACGATGTTTAGCAAATTACCATGATATTCAATTATTTTTTTGTGAAATTACTCCATTAGTTTGTTATAATTATTGTTAATACAAATTAATTAATTTTAAATGCCCAATTAAGAAGCTATATTCTCGCGTATTATGTAATGGTCTGTAGTAAAAATTACTATTTGGCAATTAAGGTTCTTTATATACGTCTCACTTACAAATGTAGGTAGATATATATGATAGGTCATCAACCATCAGCTAAACGATTAGATATCATTACTTAGGCGTTTCATACCATGTTATGACTTTTTCGATATTTCTGAATTATTACATGTTATTATTATATGTTGTGTAAAAGCGGTCTTGGTCTCGTTTTTGCAAGACTAAGACCACCTGATTGTAGTAAAATTAACATCGACTCTGGAACGACTGATGGAACGTGACGATGAAGTGGACGATGCAATGGTGCATGCGCACTTTAATAATGCCTATTCACTCTCGCCTTGAAAACGCTCAAGTTATACCGCTCACGGGACAAGTCTGCAGGCAGGGAATTACAGTCCATAGCCGTTTCCCATAACAATGTGGATTCGAAAGGTTTCGTACAAATCCCTGGAATATCCATAACATAGGGGTGGAACCCCAGCATACATCTAGTCCTTCGAGGATGATTCGTGAGAAATATTAAGTATGTACTTTATAAGAAATAAATAAATTTTTTTAGGTAGTCGGCGACAGAGGACCCAACACTCAATCTACGGCATGTGATTATGATCCTTGTACCAATGTACTCTTTTACACTCAGGTATCGTTTATTTATTACCCCAGAAAGAGGTCAGTTAAATGGTTAAAGCCTTTGTCTGTCTGCGGCATCGTAAGTTCCAAACGGAGCGATAGCTGTTTGGTGAACATTTGCTCAGCTGTTTAAAGATCAGCAGCTCTTTTCTCAGTTAAGGTAGACATCTCATTCATAAAATTAATAAGTGTTTAATTAACCGACTTCAAAAAAAGCAGGAGGTTCTCAATTCAACTATACGTTTTTTTTCTAACTACCTCCGTGGCCGAACGGTTCCCATGACTGCCATGACTGCCGGACTGCCACGCAGAGGTCCCAGGTTCGATTCCCCGGCCGGGCGAAATATTTGTAGGGCCTACATTTATTTCTCTCGTGAGTTTGGGTGTAATTTGTGGTTGTTTATGTGTGTCCATGGCACCCGCGACACAGGGTTTCCCTAGTGCGGGGCTATGTTGAGTGCGTGCGCTATTATTATTATTATTATTTTTTGTACGTTACGCGATAACTACATTTGTGAACCGATTTGTTGGAAAGAGGATACCTCAAAAGTGGTCCAATAAAAGTTTGAAAAAATATTCCACCTCTAAGGGTGGCAATCTAGGGGATGAATGACTTTTGAGGTCGGTTTCTTTAGGTCTAATTAACTGATTTTTTTATTTATTTCCACTTGTCCGATTGATTTGAAATTTTGTATATGGTATAGTATGGTAGCAATCGCGAAATCCTTAGGGCGCCTACAAACTAGACGCTTATAGAAACCCAGCAGTGGCACCACTATGGGGCCGCAGTGTTGCTACTACTCATTTTTATAGTTTTGAAAGTGCAGTTGCAACACATTGTCATGACACGTGCGCGCACTTTTGCAGTCACAATAAGTGAACTAAAAATCACTGAAGAGCTACGCGCGGCTGCCGCGCCACAGTAGCGCTTGTATAAGCGTCTAATTTGAATTGAAGGAGCTTTAAGATGTCGATCTTTACATTTTCAGCTGAATAAAAACGGCGTTGGATGTTGGAACTTAGATAAGCCGTTCCACGGGGACAATGTACATGTTCTTGTCAGCGATTGTACTTTGATGGAATTTCCCAACGATGTCAAGGTAAATGACAGTTATTTAAACTGAAAAATCGACTTTTCAGGATTCATAGTTTTTACGTTCGGCTTAGTTTGTCCCATTGATAAAATGTACTTCCACAATTTGCTTTAGTCAATATATGTCCTTTTTTATAATATCAAGACATGGGACAAGCAAGTTGTGTGTCTGGTGTTAAGCGGCATGCAACCCATAACAGTTGTAGAGTTGCTCAGAGCTATAAATCGCAAAGACCTGAGGGCCACGTCACTACGCCCGTTACTAGAATAGAATAGAATAGCATACGTTTATTTGCCAGAATACAGTAATGATAAAGGTCGTTGTATTCAACCTGCAAGCATATGTACAAACATTAATTTCATGTTCGGTTTCTACTGTTAATTGCACTTCATATTAATGTAAATTTGTATTTAGAAATTCTGACTATTATACTCTGAGACATAAGTTGACAAATTCCATGTACCTGTAATTTCACCAGCACCCTTAACCTTCAAAACCGGAACATAGGAATATGAACATTACTGCTTGGGGGTAGAAGTAGGTATGGTGAACTCGTTCACAAGGAGCTTTAGTACTACTGTCCTTTTATCTGACTGTCCTCACGAAATTTTGACAGTTTGTGTACATATTTCTAGTTTCTACAGAACTAGTATTTTATTATAAATTTACTGATAAATAATACGGAAACAGGTTTTATTTTATAAAATAAAAAATATTCCAATGGAAGACAGAAAGAAAAACAGAAATAACAGGGTGCATTTACAAAACAGAAAATAATTACCACTATTTCTGTGTGTATTATTTTTTTTTACCATATTACATTTAAACCTAATTTTAAATTATTGTTAAGTATTGTGTCTTCAGTAGGCATAAATGTTTTTATTTTTTTCTGTTTTATTTTTCTTTTTTTTTGTGTGGTGTCATTTGTACTAGTCAAATAAATGTCAATACATTCTTATTCTTAAGCAAAATGAATTACAATGGGTCATTCTCATGTTGTAAGGAAGAGCGTATCTCCTAGCACAAGTGTATATTTACATTTATATTTATATATATATTTAATATTTAAATTAGGCCTAAGTTGAAGTAAATAAACTTTTTTATTATTATTTTCGTAGGTGGACGCAGACTGCAATGTTTGGATCCTAAGCGATCGCCAGTCCCGATTTCTTTACAACACGATGAACTACAGCGACGTGAACTATCGTATAATGAGTGCGCCCGCCTGCATGCTAATACAAGGCACAACTTGTGAAAACAGTAAAAGCCGTTTCAGCTTGAAACGTTCTGTTAGAGATTTTATAAATTGAGATCGCAACATCGTAAAGTCTCGGTAACTACGAATGTGCTTAGTCAAAAGATTGTGATTATTAACTTGTTACGATCGATCATTTTCTGATGGTCATATCCCTGGATAGTACAAAGAAAAGCCCTATGCACATCTGAGGGTGACATTGGAATGATGTGTCAGCCATAGAAAGATATAGAATGAACAACACCGTAGCGATATCGCTGTGTATCGGTAAGTTCGATGTCACTAGAGTTCAGAAATATATAACGCTTGATGGTGTGGAGTCCTCTTTTAAACAATATTACCAACTGAAGAGTCCAGGGAAAGAATAATCAAACTTACTTGAAGATAATTTTGGACAAAAATAGTTTTTTAAAATTTGAAAACTTAATTATTGGTGAAAAAGACAAGCACAAATACTATGAAATAAAGTCAATGCTGACACAACTATATGTAACGCTATGTAATCCATTTTGACTAAAAATATTTATAAATCTTTTTTAACTTTTCTACCATTTAGTCGCAAGCATTTTTATGACCAAAAGTAAAAGCTGATTTCTCAGGACATTGAACCTTATTAGCCTTTTTATGATTTGGGCAAATTACACTCGGCGTTTACCGAACAGGATGGCAGTAATAACCTTAAATGTATTTTAGTGACTTTAACCATTCTTTCTCTGGTCTCTTCAACTGATATACCTATGTTATGTACTTTCATGCACGACAAATTATATATAATTGTAAATGAAACAATTTTTTTCGGATGTAAATCGCGTATAATAATAATAATATTTCTTTATTAAACGACTTCAAAAAAAGGAGGAGGTTCTCAATTCGACTGTATGTTTTTTTTTGTATGTATGTTACGCGATAACTCCGGTATTTGTGAACCGATTTTCATGATTATTTTTTGTTAGAAAGAGGGTACCTCCATAGTGGTCCCATTTAATTTTGCAGAAAATCATCTACCTCTAAGGGTGGCTTGAAGAACGCATGAATATTCATTTTCATAAATAGCGCCCAAAATGTATTATAAGCAACAATTATGTGAATGGTTGATTTTGCTATTCTCCAATTCAAGGCGTTTTTCTCTCTCAATATAGTTTGAGTCGATCGAATTTGAATCGATTTATATTATCTCCTGTGTCAAGTCCCGTATAGTGGCGAACTAGGGGATGAATCCGGGTTTGCGCACTTTCCGGTAACCGATTTCAATAAAAATTGGTAATTATATGTAATTCCACGTACTTTTGAGGTCGGTTTTTTTAGTATTCTGTACTGAGATTATTTATCTCCACAATATAAAACAAAAGAACATTATAGTAGAGACACATATTATGATATACGCTTAGAGTAATGTATTCTGGGAGACTGGAGCTGAAACTAAGCAGAGCTTGTAAGTGGGTCTCCAGGCACCCAACCCCTGGTATTTCAGTCCGTTAGTGGACTGAAGTAATAATTCTGGACCTGTGGGCTAAACGCTGGTGTTTGAAAAAAAAAACAAATGTACCTACACGATTTAGATACTTAAAAATATTTTTGTTCCTATTTTAAAATTATGTATATTCATCTTTATTTGCCTGTAACATTTATGAAGATTTTAAATATATTGTACCCATACATGTGACACCCTATAAGGGCGCTACAAATTTAGAGGGAAAATGAAGAATTATTAATTCATTATGTCAAAAATGCCCGGTCAATGGTATTCCAGTACTCTCCCAAATATAGCCACATTCCGTTCCCTTTCTCAGTGACTGCCGTAGGTGTAGTATTTATGATTTCTTTTCATTTTATTAACTCGCCCTTAGAGAACTTTGTCCTGAAGAACTTTCTCACGCGGCAACGTACGATCTGAAAATGTGCCTTATAATATATTTCGTATTAAAGACTTTTAAATTAAATTATTCATGAAAAATTAGAATCAAAGATCCGGCAGTATGGCTTATACGCCTGCAACGAAAATTTTTAGTGCTAAGTGTCTTCAAATTAGACGCTTATATAAGCAATGCAGTGGCGCCACTGTGGCACTGCAGCCGCGCCATTACTACTTTTCACACAATATTTAGAAGTGCAGTTACAGCGCCACTGTCGTGTCACTCGCGCTACTTCTGCAGTCACAATTACTTCACTAAAATTTTACTAAAGACGCGTGGTTGCTGCGCCACTGCAGCGCAATGTCTACGGTCTCACTCAGCTTTCAAAAGACAAACTTTCTTTACAAATAATTTTCTGTATACTATTTTTATATAAATATATAAGTATTTTAAAGCTACTATACACAATATTTTAAGTAATTTAAAAACGCTTCTATTCATCCGGTGATCTTAGTCGTTTCTAACACGACCAACGGCAGCAGTATACACTTGCGATTTTAACAGGAAATACTGTAAATGCATTGAAGGGATCACTTTTTTTGTAGTTTCTTATTAACATCATTACTAATATCATTATTTTGTCATTAAACAACAAGCGAGACTTTTGTGTGTTTGTGATTTCGGCATCTATAACCAGCTAAATGTTACTTGCCGATTACATTTTGCATAACATTATTTAATGATGTATAAACGATGATGTAGGAACCCTGTCATTAGCCATACACCTAGCCCATATACTATTGTAAAATACCTTATGCAACAGGTATTTTCAATAAATAAAATAAAATTTTAATAAAACCACATTTACATGCGTTACAGCTCAAGATGAATAATTGTTAAACTGAAGACAAGTGGCCGTGAAAATATTTTCAAGTGTTAGTTTTGCCTGAAGTCAGAAGACAGCGATGTGTATCCTATTTTCGTGTATATGTAGTACATCGAGAAAAACTAAACTAAATTATAACCGGCGTTTTATTGTTCTCAAATTACTATTCGAGTATTGTGTGTAATAGACCTTATTTAAAAAACCGAAGGTTTGTGACGTAAACTCTCAACGGAACCATATTGTTTGTTTAAACCACATATTGCCTGTGGTTTAAACACATTTATTGTCTCCAATTTGTACGACCTCACAAACACATGGAACTATATGCCTCACATACACATTATAGTCTTTCCATATGTGGACTGGTTGGAATCTCACAGTGGAAAATTCTGGAAAGCGATGTAGACAGAAGATACAGTTGCTTTTTGAACAAATTTAATCTTTATTCCAATACAATGGTACGGAAACTATCCCCAGTGTTTCTTGCTACAACTAAACAAGAAAAAAGGTTAAAGGCTTCATCAGCAGCAAAAAGCTGTTTATTTTCCAAATGGTTAATTAAGTATTATGTATATATAAAGATAATTACATTATTCGTAATAACATCCATCGTTTATTTTTTTTAATTTAATTTTTTTATTTCAAATTAAGTACAAAAATTGATAATTGAAATGAATAGACAAGCCATGTGGCACTTTTTTTCAGTCAACTTGTCATTGAATATCGTCGGAATAATCTTGTAGAAATTATCCCGTGTGCAGCGCCACATAACTGTTACGTAAACTGTCATTCCCCGCACCGCGCAGCTACCTCAGGAACCGACTTAGTTAAGCAGTAAGCCTGGAGCTAATGCTGCCTGGTTAACATTCTCTTTTATTTATTGAACCGTCTCTTTGATTCAGAGTATTTTTTTATTAGTTTTGTGCATAGGTTCTCAGTTTGGCTCACCGCCCACTTAGGCAAGATAATTTCACTGCCACCTCCACAAAACGTTTCGCTACCACCACAAAAAATAATTGAAAATACGTATTTTTTATATTAATACAAAAAAATCACAAGGAAAAAAATTATATAATATGTACTGTAGTTTGTATAGACAATTAGGTTTTTTTTTCAAATGCGCTAGCACCCCTTGGACAGCATCCACACCCCGCAATTGCTACTGCCCCCTAGGAATCCCCAGCGTCCAGTGGAGGAGCCACTTTGGGAAACTATGGTTTAGTGGTCTCTGCCTATAATGTAAATTTTCACATATTTCGAAGCAAATTTTTGAATTTCTTGATTTATCGAGTTGATTTATTTAATGAGTTTCGAAAATTTATAGAATTTGTTTTCTCACGCTGAATGTCACTTACTTAAGCGATGTATGTCCATGTTGGATACAAGAACCTCCAATTTAACCTTTACTAAATAAAACACAAGTAATAAATTTAAATGTAATCTTTTTATTTTAATATACAACATTGTAATAACTATTTTAATAAATAGTCTATGTGATTGGATAGCATTTGCACGTGAAATGTTTTTCGTTCCCACTTTCGTTCACGCTCAGTCTTTTCACTATATATACCTCTGGGGAACAAATACATAGAACTGGGAACACGAGGACTTAGTGTTGTCAACGACGAGAACCTAGCGGCCGTTTTCGGTACTAATTAAACACCGTGTTAAATGAGTTTTTGTGATTCCAACATAGATTATTCTCTACTAACTAATCAAGAGGCCAATAATACAGGGGCATTACTAGTTTAGGCTCCTGTTACCCACAAATATTAAAATTTAAGCTCTGTTCTTTTGCTTTGTAGCTATTTACGTGAGGCAAATAAACTTGTATTATTAATAAAACCATTAATTTATTTTATGGTAACTAATTTGGAAAGTAACACTGATCTAGTATAAAACCGTCACATTTATAGTCCACACAACAGCCGCTAGGAAATCTCGATGCCAACAGCGTTGGTGACAATTTTGCTACCAATGCCATTTCAAAATCCAATTGCATTTTTTTAAATACGATCATTTTAATGCGAGTTTTGCTTTTATAGATAGTTCAATTAATACTTTGCGTTTTGCATGTTAAACGTTTGTAAATAGTTTGCTCTTATAATAATCTAAATTACCGAAGCCAATTCTGTATGAAAACACTTCCCTCAAGTCTTTTTCCAATCTTTACTATTTTAAATAATGTACAATTTTACTAAAATTTAAAATCACGCAAAATTGACCTCATACATCTAACTTTTACTAAAAGGTCAAGTATCTAGTTGCTTAGAAAGAGGTAGAAGAAGTATGTAAGACAAATTATCTACCACTAATCCTTAGTTATAAATTTCTACTGATAATTCGTTTAATAATTTTTACGTTTACGAGATTTTTTGACGATAGAGTATTTAAAATAAACATAGTTTTTTTAGTTATCTACATTGATAATGTAATGATTCACGTTCTATGTAGATAAAAGTGTAATCTCAGCTTCATATTTTTTCAGACTTTTTTGATGAAAAGGTGGTAAGTTATGTTGCATGATGTTGCTATGACTTCTATGACGTGTCTCGACTAGCCCCGATAAACATTCTTGGTTATTTTTTAAATTGCATTAATACGTTTTTCAATATTTTTGGCGTTAATGGCTTAGAAGAGTGATGGAGATACTAAGCTTTAACAAAACTGTCCTCAGTATGTAGCGCCGCTAAACGTCACAAATGTTTATTTCTGTTTCATTCTCATACGAGACGTGTAAAATGTATATTTTTCTAAGTTAATGAAAAGCATTTCATTGTCATTATTTGTGAAATATATTTTTTTTATTACATATGTTTACGACTCAAGTCTAAAGACAATTCAAGCAGGAAGAAATACTAGACTAATATTCTTAATTACGTCGGAGTGACTAACAACACTTTTCCTTCACAAGTAACATGCATAGACCGCATCAATGTCTTTAAAATAGCCATAATAAAACTCAATAAAGTGATAGCAATTTTTTAACAGTCTCACAAAGTAATTGTCATATTACCAATATGATTTTTCTTGCACTCCGTCCAAATGTTCCCAGTTCCATGTAAAAATATTTCGCTGTCTGTGCTCAACGTGTTTCATAAACCGAAGTTAGAAAAGCGTTGCGAGAGTTAAGGAGACTATATTTACAATTTATTGCTCTATTCGATAGGCCATATTTATTAAATAATATTAATTATTATTACAAATTATTTAGAAGTCAAAGGTATAAAAGAAAACTTAAGAGTACGCGTTTTTTAGAGTACATTTTCGTCTAGTCCCACTGGTGCAGTTGACCACTTGGTGGTGCTTCCGGGACATTTTCCCAATAAATCATACACAGATGGAGCTCATAATTGTATTAGCCCCAAAATTTATGTCTATCAGGCATGCGTTGCTAAGAAAAAAATCGGAAATGTCAGAAGTCTCATTACAAAATGGCGTCAACGGCAATATTGGGACTGGACGGTACTTTTTGTTTTTATTTAACGTTTAGCGTTTGTTGCGGGAAAATATGATATTGTATACAAATATACATATTATATAAATATATATATATTGTATACAAGCATAATTTTATATTACAAGTTCCTAATAAGTAATTAAATAAACGCAAAAACAAGCAGCAAGCTGAATTTTTTATACATACCTAATATAGGTATAGATTTATTATTTGGTTTTAATTGGAATATTCTAACAAGATAAAACAATGTTCTTTTTATTTTTATGTCATATTTTCCACCGCAACGAACGCGAATTCATTTTTTTATTAAACGCGCGATGAAAATTCGTACAAAGTATGGCAAAAGACAATAAAGTCAGAACCTAAGCGAGTATCCAATAGGTCGCGACAAGTAAGTTTAACGCTGACTTACTAATCAAAGATGGATTTTTGTTATATTGATTGACGAACAAGTATAATAGCTCAATGTAAATAAAAAAAGAAAGATTTTCGCGTTTAGTTACTACACGATTATTCCTAGTTACAAATATATTTTTTATTTAAGTCGTTTCGTGGTAAAACTAGTGATAATTTTTATGAAAAAACGTTTAAAATTTTGTGTACAATAATGATTAATAGGGTTAAATTTACAGTGCCGCGGAAAGGAATGGAAGCGAAGTTTTATAACAAAATAGTACATAGCATAATGACCTTTATGTCAATTGTGTAACGTACATACTAGATACGATACGATGCGCGAGTATTCTCTAGTTTGTACGTTACACGTTAACGTAAAGTTTATTATGTTACGGTCACAAAATCTACTTCCATTCCGTTCCTCATCACTGTAAAATTAAATTTAATATGTCATTAACCGGACAACCTTACCAATTACTTGGTCTCAAAACTAGAGAATCTCTTGTACTATGAGTACCAGAGCAACGGAATTCACTCCAGGATACAAACCCAAAACATTAGAAAAGTTCATTTTTTAATTGATTTTACCCAGCGTTTGCCTTGCAAACCGTAAGGCAATAGGCGGACGGAGAGCGTATGAGTAATACGGGCTACCTAAATAGCCTCCTGTTTGTTGAAAGATGTAGACATACTTGTCGCGACCTGCCGGGGCAATATTGGTGCGTAGAACGTCCTACTACCTATCAGGTCTTGTGATTGCTACCTTATTTAGTAGGTAAGTCCATTATCTAGAGCTGTCGGCGCAGTCGACGACTTTTTTCTCGTGTCGCTTGATCAGCGGAGTATTGTATTCCCAACCGTCTTCGCCTTTTGGACTGAATAGCTGGAACAGAGAGAAAAGGCTTTTTATTACTGTCGTGGAGTTGTGGTAAAATCAGGCTCAAAGTAAATCAATATAAAATTGTAATTTACGGAACATTATGAACCATAAGTATTTAGTGCATACTGCACTACATACCTAAATTTCGGAAAATCGGAAGCTTTTTCTTCAGTCAATAAGTTTCAGTAAAGGAAAACATCGTCAGAATTTATGACAAATGACACGATTATATATTATTTAAAAAAAATCGTTTGTTTGGAACATCTGTTTTGTAAAATTTTTTATAGATACAAATTTTTTATTTAATTAATAAGTGTGAGTACTACAGTAAAAAAAGACGTAATAATTACATAAAGATAATGTAATATGTTTGAAAATCTCGTTTCACAAAATTATTGAATGAAATGGTGCCTGATCAAAGATCCAACATTTTCTTCTGTCCAATGCTAAAAAAACGAAGTATAGATACGTACAAGTAGCGAGAATTGTTGAGGTCTGAACGGAGATACCGACTTACCTGTGTGACCCATTTCTCGCCATTAGCTTCCCTCTGCTTGACAGCCTCCCTTTGAGCCTGTTCCACGGTCCTCTTGGCGTTGGTGGCCGCGTCGCAGTCCTGCGCGCGCAGGGCGCAGGTGACGTGGCGCCACACGCGGCGCGACTCTTGCAGCCCTTGCTTGCTGATGGGGGTCACGCGCTTGCGCCGCGGCTTCATTAACGACACGTCGAAGAGGACTTCGCTGCGCTGTTATTAGAATACGCTCATTTAATAATAACAATAAATCTTTATTACGGACAACAGGGATCCATGAAGTGTTAGTAACAAAAATAGCTTATAATTAGGTTAGTACTTAAATTCTACTACGGGTTTTGTGGTTGTTATTAAGTGTCGCATCCCGGGGCATTCACTCCTACCCGCGACAGTCTTCAATAGGTCGTTACTGCTGCCAAGTATACTGATAAATAAAGACGCCGACTTCTTCCGTAAGAGTGCCATGAAGCTGTCGACGCGAGCTTCAGCAAACATGGCAGACGCACTATAGAAACGTGGCAGCGTGAGACGTTATTACATTGCGTACGCAGGGCTCTGAGCGAGCTTTTGGGTATAGCTGGCCCACAGGGCACCCGCGTATAGTGGTGTGCAATAGGCTCTAAAAATCGAGCAAACTCGCGAGGCAGCATGTTCGCCTTCACCGACAGTGCCCTGCGCTCGCAATATAGTGTTCTAAATATTTAAAATGGAATCTCTTTAATGGAATTCCATTAATAACAATAACGCACTCACTCAACATAGCCCCGCAGTAGGAAAACCCTGTGGCGTGTGTGCCATGGACACACACATAGACAACCACAAATTACACCCAAACTCACGAGAGAAATAAGTTTAGGCCGTACAAATATTTCTCCCGGCCCGGAAATCTAACCTGGGACCTCTGCGTGGCAGTTTAAAACCGTTCGGCTACGGAGGCAGTTAAATTTATTTTTATTTAGTCATTGAACATTATAGGCAACACATTTTCAGGACTCTTGTTGACTCTTTTTGACGTTATAAATTAGTCCATGCGAGGCAGCATATTCCTTACATACTAGAATCAATTTTCTCAATGCACTAATTGATGGCGCCAGCAACACCATGTCATCGGCATAGCTAATGTTATTGAGACAAACACCGTCAATAAAGCATCCCACAGGAGTGTTGCTGAGTTCATCGACCAGTGCATCCATATTTCATGTCACTATACTGACTAGGCGACATAACGAGATTTGCTAAAAGCAACTGTGATAGAATCCACGGTCAACGTGGCAACGTCGTAGCAAAGCGTAACTAAGAAGAAGAAGAAGTACGCTTGCCATCTCGCTTGCACGTGTTAGTCAGATTTCAAAGAAAAAGAGACAGCTAGTGTTGCGTTCTTACTTTTCGCGCCATGTGCCCGTTTAAAAATTAGAATATTTTGAGGCGCCATCTATTGGCACACTATTGAACTACGTAGATAAGAGATGTTGCTACATTGTAGTAATAAAACTGTATTAGAACCGTTCAGATCGTTAAGTCAAATTTAAACAATTGACTTATATCAATATTTATTACGTGGTTTATACACATATAGTACAGTAACCCTTTTCAAGGAAAGTAATTTATCAAAAAACTTCTTCGTTGAGTTATGTGAAGTGAAAATTGAGCCAGCAAACTTGAAAAAACTTGTTGAAATGTACAAAGTTCCTGCATACCCCAGTATCACTCCAGCGTCCATCCATCCTGCTATTCCACTCGCCCTGCGCCGTGTAATAGGGCTTCTTCTCATTGCCGGCGAACACTTCGCACGTGACTCGATGTTTCTTGCCGCCATAGAAAGGTTTTGTCAAGAACTCTATGTTCGCCTTATGTCCGGTCTGGACGCATTCTATGCAGACCGAACCGCCTAGTTCGATCCACGGTACAGTTAATATTGATCTGTAATAAGTATAAAATAGGTTTCAGTTTTTGTAATGAAGTTGTGTTTCATTATTTTATTTACTCGTACAAAAAGTATTGTATGTAGAGATGCGCCGAGTACTCGTTTGCTACTCGGTACTCGGTGTACTTGGCCGTTTTTTACTACTCGTACTCGGCCGAATAACTCGGTTCATGAGAAGAGTACTCGGTTAAAATAAATCATTACGGCAATAGACATAATAAAGTAAAACCAACAATATATTTAAAATAATCAAAAGAGATTTATTACTACAAATTCTAGACAATTGTAACAATTTGTAGCAAATTAGGTAATTTAAAAAGAAAGTTTACATTATTAATATTTAAAATTTAACAAAGGCAAGTTATGATGTAGGAATAACACGCTTACTGCGCGTTCAGGTAATAGTCTGTTCTTTTTTTCTTCATACACATTACCCACTTCGGAAAATAACCGCTCGCTATACCCAGTGCTTGCAGATCCGCATTAAAACGTTCGTGCTAACTGTGCCAGTTTTGGATATCTTGTTATATGCCTTGCCCCCATTGCAAAGGACTCGCGACAATAAACTGTCATTGACAAATCGGTCTAATTCTAGAGCAATGGGACTTTTAGGATCCTCGCGTTCCGGTTGTAATGAACCGAGTAACTTGGCCGAGTACTCGGCTCGGCAAATGTTAAACCGAGTAATATTCGGTACTCGGCTACTCGGTAAAACTTGTGCTCGGCGCATCTCTAATTGTATGCAATCATTACACAATTAGATCTTCAAATCTCGTACCTATTACTTTAAGAACGATTGCATAATATTCTATTCGGAATTCCGCTAATAATAAACATTAGTATTATATATTGTCCTGAAATCCAGGCGTCTAGTAAGTAGATAATTAAAATCACTTCAACTGCACTTAATTTTTTTCCTCACTGTATGAGACAGATTATGATATTGTAGTCTCGACTACAGTACACTGTAGTATTTACAAACCTATTTTAATCGAAATCGGAGTGAGGTTATAGATAATTACAAAAACGGGTTATTATAATCATAGGTGCTAAGCCAAATAAATTATTTAAAACATCATTCAGTTTATTTTGACTGTATTATACCAAACTAAAGGTATAATAGTATTTAAGACTCGACACAAGTGACACGACGAAGTTGTTCGACGTACTGTGACAAGACAAAGTGACTCGACGTAAGGGTCGAAACACAAAACTGCGATGCGACGTCACGAAATCTGCGAGCGAGCTCGATACATCGCAAGAATTTGCGAATTGCTCGGCATCACGCATTCATCCAGTGACGTTAACCTTCTTTGTGTTTTTTCCTATACCTTCATATCAATAACAGCAGTGTAATACTTTTTTTACGATCCACATTGCCACCTAGTTTAAAAAATACGTTCAGTACGGTTGATGATCGTCGAAAAAATGGTTACCCAAACCGTGCCTTAACGCACGAAATTGCATCGCAGCAATTCGCGTCGTAGTGTTCTGCATTGCGAATTCGCACCGCGCCGATTCGCAGTTTTGTGTTTCAACCCTAAAATGTCTCAACATTAAGTGACTCGACGTGTAATGATTCGACGTAATTATTATTTGATTTTAGTAAGTAAATTAATCCTTGAAGCCGTATTCACTCACCTGCCGTAACCATTAGGGAATGTCAAAGTATACTCCTCTCCTTTGTCTAACACAGTGACTATTCCTTTGCCAATATTGTGTACACCTATCGAAAGTCCCAAGAACTTGCTCTTCGTCCACACCCAGGCCTCGAATTGTATGCGTTTATTGACGTGTTCGGCATAAAAGGCTGAGATAGGAGGATGATGGGAGACCTGTTCCGCTACGAAAGAGAGTTGGTCGGGTGAGCACCAGGGTACTGGACCGTCGCCCACTTCTTGCTGCTTAAACAATAATGCAAAGATTAGATTAAAATATAACAATAACGCCTGCGGAACACAATAGTGCTAAAATGGAGACCCAGGAGCGGTACCAGAAGCATTGGACGCTTGACTGAATGGCGTGCAAACCCAAAGAGGAGGCCTACACTCAGCAGTGGGTGACTAGAGGCTGAAGAAGAAGAACCTGGTACTCATAGCGCAGGGAATGCCTTAGTTTGAGACCAGACAATTATGGATGTCTGATACATTATATTTAAAAGTAATGTCCTTAATAACCGTACCAATTAACCAATCAATTTATTTAATCGTCAGATTATACATTACGATTTTATTTTAAACTTATTTTATCTTATTTTAAATATAACTGGTCTCAAACTAGGGAATTCTCAGTACTATCGGGGCTCCGTAACTCGCTCAAGGTTACACGATAAGTGGCTACCGTTGAGTGTACCGACGTCGGCACAAGCGCTCATACAAGTCTTTCATTTATGAGCATTCGACTCCGCACGACTGCACACGGCGGGCAATTCACCTTTCTGAGCGCGTGCTTAGGTTCCTTTTTCCTCGTAGTGAGCGCCTGGTGTCATTAGTCAGATTTAGTAGGCTATTATAGCTTAGATATTTTCGATTTTGCAAACCGAATAAACGTGTATAATACGTAATAAATGTGTATATAATGGACGTTTGCTCGGTGTGGCCATCGTTAGTACTCAATAGTGAGGAATCTGCCTAACGAATGAGCAATAGAGTATAATCAATATGACGATTTCAAGTGTAACTTGCTGACATTTTGAATTTAGAATTTTCCTAGAATTTGCACCATTAAATAACGGATAATTAATTTTTTTTTACTTATTTTTTTGTCAAATTTAATTTATCTTCCATTATTACATATTGATGTTGAATCATAGTTTTTAAATTTTATAATCGTTGCGTTAAAGCCAGCTTAAGATCTTAGGGACAAGGAAGTGGCTGAAAAACAGGGCTACCAACGACAGCAACGGTACCCGGCATCACAAGCTCAGTTACCCCCATTTGGCCTCTGACATGATTGGCGTTTATTGATTTTTTTCTGGCTTAATAGGTTGTGTCCAAAAAAGTGTCATTGTGACAATATATCTTTTTGATTTAAAACTCTACTAACTTATGGACAGGCGTGTCGCTTTCCATCAGGCGTTCCTTCACTTATTTATTATAAAAAAAAAATTGTAGCAGTAGATTTCCTAGTGAAAGAGTTCGTCCAGGGAAGTACTGCCACCTTACTTGTTTCTGCCCCTAAGCAGTAATGTTATCATTACTGCGTTCCGGTTTTGAAGGATAAGGGTGCTGGTGAAATTACAGTCATATGGGACTTATGTCTCAGGGTGACGGGCGCAGTGGCCGTGCCCCGTTGCGATATAAAGCTCTGAGTGGCACTACAATTGTTATGGACATGCGTGTAGCTAACCATCAGGCGCACGACTTGTACGTCCCGTCACTTGATATTATTAAAAAAAAGTATTTGTATTTTATATAATGTTTATTAATTAATTTTAGTGTATTACCAAGATTCAGCAGCCTGTCTCTAAAGCAACCTAGTGTATGCATGGATCGCAATAAATTTTCATAAACGTTAGCAAAATTAGGTAACCTACTGCAACGAGGAGCGCCGGAAACGCCTAATTAGGCACGCAACTCTACGCGCTTAACCTCACTCGCAATGCGTATGTAACCGCTTATCAGTGGCCATCAAAATCATTGTCTTAACGATTAGAAATGTCGAATATTTTACATATTACCCATTGATTTACAAATAAATGGACGACGGGTCTAATACAAAAACCACGAAAAAAATGTCCCAAGTCAACCTATTCGAAATTTAAATTGTAATATCATCGCAGTATCGCGCTGTCAGTCGAACAAATGAAGACTAAAGCGGAGTTTGGCGCTCTGTATACGATTTTAGCGCCTTACAAGTGCGGACACTTTTTAGCGCGGACCCGACGTCCATATAATTGTAAGTCAATGATATTACCATTTAATTTAAAAAAAATAATTTTTTTCTACTCACGTGAGAAATAAATGTAGACCGTATAAACGTTTCTCCCGGCCCGGGAATCGAACCCGGGACCTCTGCATGGCAGTCCAGTATGGTAACCGTCCAGCCACAGAGGCAGTTATTATACGTGTGCGTGCGTGTCAGGCTTGTGCGTTTTAGTATGCATGTGGTTGTGCACGTATGCAACATGTGTACATTACGTATATACTCATTGCAGTAGATGCAATAGTTTTCAGGTAATGTTCAGAAGTTGGTTTAAAAAAATTTAGTTTTACTGTGTTCTCTTTAATTAGTATCTACTCAATTTCATAATGTTAATTTTTGATAATGTTCCTGTATGTATAGGAAAGTATTTTCAATATTGAAATTATTTTGTATATTCTGGGACTATATAAGAGCAGTGGTTAACCGGAAAAATATTACCTTATCCATAGAAGCTGGACTGGGTTCGTCCAGTTCCCAGTAACATCGAAACACTTCCCCTAGAATCGGGTTGTAGGGTTTCTTGGCTACTTGGGATTTGCGACCCGCGTGGTACGAACTAAGGTACCATCGTACTACTTGTATCATACGCTCGCGTGGCGTTGGCTGGTCTACTATCCTGTAAAACGAGATTGTTATTTTATAATTAATTATTTGTAATAACTCGGCGGTTCAAACCTAAGTCCCTGACTTTGGAATACCACCTCACACGTTTGAAATTCAAAATTTGTTTTTTAGGCCATGGAAGAGGCGTGACCTAAAATGGACACCCAAAATAATAACAAAAACATTTATTAATAAGCACGTTTTAAAAAAAAATTACAATGCTCAAACCTATATGGAAAATGTAGAAGAATCTAATGCTGGTGAAAAGGATGGATAGTCTCAGCAATCAGTGGTGCTTTTGAAATTCCGTTCCATCAATATCATAAAAATCATACAATTTTATTTATGGTATAGGTGTGTGTACGTGTGCTTGTCTGTGTGCCCGTGCACGTTTGTGCGTGTTTGTGCGCACGTTCTTCTTATATAATCTGTTTCGTCAATCTTCTTTCATTAATTCTCTCTGCATGTCCGAACCACCTAAGCAACTCTTTCTCTATCTTTATCACTACATCTTCTATGCCGCAACGCTTTCTTATCATAATATCGAAAATACACTAAAGTATTAAGCTCCACTTGTTTGTTTATTATCGATAAAAAATCGAGCAAACACAAACGACGCCAGTAGCCACGTCGAGGCAACAGATGCTGGTTCGAGTGCAGTCGGACTGTAGAAATTTGTTTACTGTGTTTTTTCGACCTTTGTACCAATAATATTAATGATTTCAATTACTGTTAAAGTGTTTGATGTTAAAATACAATTCCACAAGAACGCAAGAAGGTATTATGCAAATACTTACTTAACAAATTGATCCGGGTGGGCAAATGAGTCTGCGTACATTTCGAGGAGTGATCGCCTTTCTAAGATAAACGTTGGCAGCACAACCTGCAACAAGGTTTACAATTAGATTAAAAAAACATTGCTTCATACAGGTCCGTTTTGATTATTTTAGATTTTGCTCAGGTGTGAGTGAGTGTCGTTTTTGCTCAGGTGTGTGTGTGTGTGTGTGTGTGTGTGTGTGTGTGTGTATATATTTTGTGAGGTTTTCATCCAGTGAGGTCCATGAATTCCATAGTTGCGCCACAAACAGTAGTAGTAAAATTTTCGGCCTCCTCCAGGACAGGCTAAGGCATTAACTAGTCACACTGCCAGATGTTATACTGTAATTTTTCTTCAATACTTTAGTTTTCTTTAGTCTTCAATAGTTTCTGACATTTCTTGGCGGGAAATCGTTATAACTTTACGGTTTCCATTTTGAAACTCCGCGCCGTAGATATTGTAACATGTTTGTTTTATTTTTTTATTGTATAGATAGATGCATAGACAAAACGTTTATTCAAACATTTATTGTGACAATTTGTTGTATTTATTTTAATTTATTATTAT